TTAGTTTTGTTCAGTGATTGGTTCTTGGATGTAAATAGACTCTTTAAAAGGTGTGTGTCTCAAAATGGAGGCTGAGGCCTGTTTCCTGTCTGAGCCCAGTCAGATCTGGGTCGTGGGAACACAACCACAGGGACAGGTCTGTTTGGACCAGGGTTTCCAGGACGCACTGTTCCATGTGGTGAAATTAATAAGAAATATTATGAAATATTAATAAAATACATGATATTTGAACTATTCAGTGTTTGTCTCTGTTCACACAGTTTCTTTAGGAGTATTATTGTTGTTATTGTTGTTATTGTTGTTATTATTATTAATATTATTGTTATTACTGTTGTTATTATTGTTATTATTGTTGTTATTATTGTTATTATTATTAATATTATTGTTATTACTGTTGTTATTATTGTTATTATTGTTGTTATTATTGTTATTATTATTAATATTATTGTTATTACTGTTGTTATTATTGTTATTATTGTTGTTATTATTGTTATTATTATTAATATTATTGTTATTACTGTTGTTATTATTGTTATTATTGTTGTTATTATTGTTATTATTATTAATATTATTGTTATTACTGTTGTTATTATTGTTATTATTGTTGTTATTATTGTTATTATTATTAATATTATTGTTATTACTGTTGTTATTATTGTTATTATTGTTGTTATTATTATTATTGCTTATTTGTTGTGTTATTGACTGAAACATTCATTTCCAACATTAACAGACAGAGACATCCACTCAGGGACCATCCTGAGGGGTTAAAGGTCATGCACATTTAGCAGCAGTTTTCACCCTGGGACACAGAGTTTTGCACTTTAATTCTTTACTATTAACTCACTGCTGCCCGGGCGCTCAAGGCTGCCCCCTGTTGACTGTGGTGATGGGTTAAATGCAGAGGTCACATTTGGTTGTGTGCAGTGGTGCAGTGGTGCAGTGGTGTGTGTCACGATGTCACAATGACAAGGAGTTCACTTCAAACTTTAAACTTCAAACTTTCTGAGTAGGTTCTCATGGGGTTCTGGAAGAGAACGTCAGGGATAGAACCCTGAGAGTACACACAGTAAACACCATGGGTGGGTTCTGGCACCAGGTGTTGGACTATGGACAGATACAGTCATTTGACGTTGGTCAAACTGCTTCTTTTGGACTTTTGGTGGTTTGATACTGTAAATACACTGGCCCGATACGACCCTGGTCCTGAAGGTTCAGACCAGGGAACATGAGTGACTACCATGTGGGCCGGATCTGGCTCATGGTCCACATTGACCACAGGTTGTTGTAATTGCTCCTCATTTCCTGTAGGTGTGCTGGAGAGTAACTGAAGTCCGACACCGACCTGTTCTTTCAGTAGAACTATTGAGCTCATTCAGAGCTTTGATGACAAATGTTCTGTGTGGAGCTTTTTCAGTGGTGGTTGTCCAACTCGTGGTTGGTGGCCTTTAGTTGACCTGACGGAGTTTTCAGAGCAGTTGGTTCCTTGAACATCTGAGTAATATCCCATCTGGACAAACTTTGGATCATTCCCTCAGTGAGCGTGTGTGTGTGTGTGTGTGTGTGTGTGTGTGCTGGACTCAGGCCAAACCATGCCAACACAGCCTAATCCATCTCTGGCTTTCTTTCCCTCCTTCATTTCCATGTCTATAGGCTGGGTTAATGGGCTGAATACTAACAATATCAGTGTGAAAGCCGCTGACACTCCAGCTTTGTGAGCACGACAAGGGCCGCGATTCATCCGGGGGAGGGAGGCTTATTTACTACATTCGTTCTCATGGTAGAAGTTTGCAATATTTCTTTGGTCATGTAGCTGTGGGGCGGCCATCTTTGACTCCACAGGCGTTCCTGCCCCACTCTGGGCAGTTACACAGCTGCAGCATTCGAAGGGACTGAGAGGAAAACATTTCAGAGAATCCACGTAAAAAAATAAACAGGTAGAAACAAATCAGCAGCCGATTCAACATCTGAGAAAAATGGAACTAAAGAGTGGAAATGGAGAAGTGGATTTTTAGTCCCACCAATAAAATACAAATTTTATAACCGTCTCATTTAAAACCCAAACAGAAAATCACGTCACACGTTGTTCTGCTCATTCATCCAAAGATTTCTCCTCCTGGTTCTTTCACAACTTAAATGTGATAACGTTTTCGTTCAAACCTCCGACTGGTCCCAGTTCATCTGTCAGTGTTTTCACATCAAAAAGATGAACTTTTAAAAAGATGAATTCAACGTTCACATTTACTGTAGAACACAATTTAATTATTCATATCATCACTTCCTGTGTACTCTGTACTTGTGTGTACTCTGTACTTGTGTGTACTCTGTACTTGTGTGTACAAAAATCACCTTCAACTTTAATTAACTCCTGGTCCTCGTTTGTGGATTCTTTTATTTGAGAATGGCTAAGAAAATGTTCAAAGTTTATATTTGTTTTGTTTTTCTAAAGATAAAATAAATAATACCCCCAACTGTGGACCAGATGGACTTCACACGTCTCTGTGGGGGCGTTTGAAAGAGTTCAGAACAAAAATAGCCAAACAGAGAAGAGAGAGAACCACAGTTTACTGGGAAGTAGAACGGACCAGTGGAGCTGTGAACCAGCAGGTCCAGTGGACCAGCAGGTCCAGTGGACCAGCAAGTCCAGTGGAGCAGCAGGGCCCGCGCACACGCA